CCTGCCATACAGACATGCTCCACAAGACGCAATTCTCTACATTTTTTTAATCTAGCGTCTTTTAAGGTACCTTCTTCGGTTTCGGGTGAAACTAATTAGCTGATTATTTTCAATTAACATTTTTTCGAAACTAAAACTCGAATCACTTCAACCTTTCTTGTGTGCGTCTATGATAAACGATGTATGGGGCACTTGAGCACTCTAGGCATCGCGTTTTAGCCTTGGCGAGCCTGAAGTGTGAAGGAGTGTGTCTCGTGAGGGAGACATCAACCATACGCTGTGCGGAACACAATCATAATGTGGAGTTTCTTATAGGGTCTTTAAAAGACACGCGGGTTCATCGCGGGTTCACAGGACGATGAGACGAGGACTTCTTAGCACAATCCGCTAGTCTTTACTCCGCGCTGGCCAACCCTCCATCGGTTTCTGGTTAGACCACGAATTCACGAATTCCTTCCAGCCAATTCTTCATTCTGAAAAGAAAGTCGAGCCACACTAAGTGAATATGTGAATCTTCGAAGTCCAGCCTTTCTGCATATGCGCCAAGCATGGCAGGTCATTATTTAAGGCCTTCGGTATCCGGCACTGCTGCCCACCGACTCCTTCGTTCACGAGTGTCGCTGTCGAAGAAGACCAACTTCGGCATTCTTAGCCTGTCCAACCCGTCCGTGTCGGTTGTGATAGAGAGATACCTGCTGCCATGTCCGAGTAAAGTGAGGTTTTACGACAGCAAAACTCGATGCACTTTAGCGGGATGACCGCAGACTGTGCAGTCGGGTATGCCGATTTAATTTACAAAATCCCCTTTCATAATGAGGAGCAGACATGGTTGCCGCCGGACAGTCCATCCGGACTGAGGATACCGTCGTCTTCTACATTCCGCGAACATGTGCCGTGTTGGGGGCAGGGGGTCTTGTTCGGAGGCAACTGAAAAAACCGGTGAAGCATGCATTCTTGCATGTTTCGGGGCGCGTGGGAAGGAGGGCGACAGAGAGAGAGAGTCCGCTCATGAACGCCTATCAAATTGGCCGAAGCCCCAGGGCCCCTGCAACCCCAGGCTCAGGTCATCTCCGCCCGGAGACCGGATCGGCCCAGCCCACTCGGGCTGGCAGGCTTGCAATTAAACTGTGCTCACGTCTGGCCTGCTCGCGCCGCCCAGCTTCGCAACGAGGCCTCGACTTAGCCCCCGTACCGGCCAAAAGGCTACCGATGCGCCCGAATGCCCCTTTTAATGCTCCCACAGTTGCTACAGCCATTTGCATCGATGGCAAACGGAGTGGCGGTGTTGCCCGAGAATGGGGCTTGGTAAGCTGAGGCATTAGGTCGGGCCGTGATCATGACAGAATCGGACTTGCTCCGGGACACACGTGGTCGCGGTGCGGACTCGGGCTTGCGGCGACCCGGTACTGGACGGCCGGTATTAATGGCGGAGACGACCAGCCGCATGGGCGAAGCTGAAGCAGGACGACTCAGGCCGGATTGCTTTCAGGAGGTAGTTGAGTTCAGTCGAGCGGAACCTGGCCTCAAGCCGGCCGTGGTGGCGGCCAGAAGACAGACGCGCCTCAACTCTGTTTTAGACGGTCTCATGAAAATCCGGTTGCAAGAAAGAGAAAGAGACAGAAAGATAGATGAAGTGAGAGAGAGTCGGCATAGTCGAAATGCAATAAATATAGGCGATGAGAGTACAAGCATCAACCGACAACACCAGATAGGGTCAACCTAAAGGACGTTAATCGAAGCATCGAATTCCATTTGGTATGAAAGTACATGATAAAGAAATTAGTCGGTTGATCTCACTCGAAAACTCCTACGGAGTAGCGTAAAATAAGTGCTAATCATGGATAGGTTAATAAATCGAATAATGGAAACTACAGTGAGCCTTACTCCTTGTATTATCTCTGAATGCTCCTCCAGAGTTTGTATTATAACTTGAATAGCTCCTTGAACAGGAATGTTTGTGTGCATCGAAACTTACTAGCCTATTCTCTTCTAAAAGTGTCTGCTTATTCCTTAATTTCACAAAATCATACAAATTTTTAACTGAATATAGCCAACAATTGGCAGAGTTCCTCAGTTGTATGCATAAAAACGTGCGATTTTATGCATCAACATTCATTTATTATTAACAATTAATCTTAGAGTGACACCCTCCCTGTGAACCTTCTACTTCTTCATTTCACCATTACTTACGCATACCTTAAGGGAATCCTTAAACCAAGTCCTAAGTCTTTATATTTATCTCTGGGTAAAGGCCTATACGTGTCATTGTCATTTAAATGAACTAGCACCTTTTCTACATAACATAATCTATCCATGACTACCACGGCTCCACCTTTGTCGGCTTTCATTACGATCAGATTACTACGAGAAAGATATCTTGAAACCCTACTAAGATGACACTCTTTCTATGGCGGAATTATATGTTTAAAGTGAGGGATAACCTCCAGTTCAATACTATTCCTTACCTCTTCAGGCAATCTATCAGATAAGCTAATTAATTCAACAAGTA